TAGTTGTCCACTAGTTTTATGCTTAACCTTAGACTTTTTAAGCTAACTTTGTCATATCGTTAATGAAGCATGAAACTTTTTTTGGTCATTTCTGTTGATTGTGTTTAGCACTTAGCAACCACTAGCATTTTATCTGTTATTCCAATTTGAATATGTGTAAATTTTACCCTCAATTTGGTGCAAACGTTTGATTATAAAACTGTTAAAATCATAGATTATGTTGTCGGTTGCTTTTTTTATTATTTTTTTGCACTACATTCTGACAGAGTATAACTACAAAACTGTATTCCTTGGTAAAAATGTAGGTCATGAGAGAAACAGAAAGATAACATCAACACTCGTGGGCAGATCATTCCCCCTCGGGTGTGCCACCTTGCAGCCAGTGAGAGTGGGAATATCTGGCAGGATCTGGGGAGGGGATTGCGGAGGCGAGCCTGAGCCGACCCTGTTCTTGTCTGTGCAGAGGTTGAGCTGGATGTAATTTACACTCGGCCCACCCCGGGGAGCCGCAAGAGGGGAAGGAGAAACCATTAACTCCCTCCTGAAGGCTGCCCTTCCCGCCCGGCGGTGAGTGTCGGCTTTCATATAAAAATGGATCCATTGCTATTACAACACTCCACCTCTCTACTGCCACCTCTCCACCGCTGCTCCTGCCTCCCACCATCTGACACTGAAGATGTTTCATGGATAGAATATAAAAATACACCCGACAGACACAAGGAATGAGGAGAAAAAGATGTTCAGGAAAGCATCGGGGCGAGGGAAGGCTGTCATGATTTTTTTTTTTTGCGCATGTCACAACATTAAAGCTCATAAGCTTTGTTGTGACAGAATGATTTCTAAGGCGGTTTCGTCCCATTCTCTGCTCAGATGGAGAGAGAAAGACACAGTAAATGGCTGGAAGTCATTTCTCCCTCTCTTTAGCCGCTGCTAGCAGCTTTCAATGAAAGTGTGGTAACAAAAGGCAGAAACTCGGCACCTTCTGTTTCTCCGACAGCTTCTGGCCTACTGTGCATCACAAAGCACCGGATTTGGCAGCTGATGTATGATGGATGTATTTTTGATTGATTGAATCTTCATATTATTTTTTTATCCCAACGTTTAATTTCCAATTTCATCCAAGGCGGAACAGATATTGGGATTTCAGACAGTCCTGGTGCTGAATGGTCGCAGATATACATATCTGTGATTTTATGGGGAACTCTATAACAAGGGTTTTTCCCGAAGTCGAAGAGGAAGCAGAGGGTGTGAAGGATGGACTGGAAATAGACAAAGAACCAGACCTACTTAAGTCTGGAAGTGTCAGAGCAACCTGGCTGCAAGGTAGAGAGAGACAATGAGCTGGCAGAGAGTGTGTGTGTGTTTGAGGCCACACTGTTTCTCATTAACCCCCTGATGTTCTACGAAGGCCTGTCTACAGTGCACTGTGACGCCAAACCACGGGCTAAAAAAAAAGAAAAGAAGTGACACTTCGTCCCAGCTTGAGAGTGGACAGGTGGACCAACACGGAGACATGGTTGCTTGTTGTCTGGTTATGCAAACGACATCTCAGGAACAAGACTTAGTGCCAGGATGTTTGCGTACGTCCGTACTTCCAGGTTGGCGTTAACTGGCACGGATAAAAGCAGATGCAGCAGAGCAGGAGGTGTGACGTGTCTCACTGAAGGACAACTGCAGCTGTCCCTGGGGCAGAATGCACTGATGCACACACAGATGTGCTGGGACACAGAGACAAGAAGACCAGTCTCCGATGGTGTGTTAATATGAAGCTACGACGCCTGTTTGTCACTGGTTCACTGCTGCTTTCAAGGAAGAACGTTTTTGTCCAATCGTGAAGCTTTTTTTTTCTTGGTTGACGGACAGAAACAGTTTGTGTCTCCACTCATAAATGAATCCAGTTGTTTAACATTAACTTAAAATGAATAAATTATTCAAAGTTACACCTGTTGTGTTTAATTAAAAAAAGGTCATGTCCTTTAAATACTGAATAGTCATTCCATTAATGAACCTCAATGCAGAACTACAGCATGCATTTCCTTTAACAGACAATAGGGGGCAAATTATGAGCAAACTAATGAGCATTTTGTGCGAATTCCTATTACAATTGTTGTCCTGGGTATTATTATACTTCCTAAGACAGTGAAGGCATCACTGGTTGTTCTCTCTTATCAGTCTGTATAGTAACCCTTTAAATAAAAGCTGTTTAATCTGAGACATGTTTAAATTAATCATGATTAATCACGATTATTTGGTAACTTTTTAGTGCAAAATATACAACTTTGATTACGATATTATATATTTGATTATATTATGCGAATTTAGCACATAGGAATGTGATTTACCACAATTTTCGACACTTGTCTCACACTAATCATCAAATGACAAGTGTAACTGAGCAATCTGTCTGTCTCTCCGTCCGTCTGTCCAGTCAGAAACATTGTGACACTGAATTCCTCCCGACTGATTATCTTCTGAACCCACCGACGCATCTTCTCCTCGCTGCTTCGCCCACTGTCTAATTGCAATTTAGTTTCAATCATGTGGAGCTGTTTATGCTTAGCAAAGCAAAGCAAAGCAATGCTGGGTAAATGTAATTAAAGCCAATTGATTTAGAGGCTGCTAATCAATGCAATTTGCTGCGACAAGGCGCTGGAAAGTAATAAGATTTAAGGCGAAAGTGATGCATGTGGCACAGGCCGGTTACTGGTGAATGAGTGAGTGAACAGAGGATGATGTTCCTGAGTGCTGCTGATATAGAGATAGCGGAGATTTCTAAAAATAGCTGATTTGTTAAGGAGGCCACTGACGTCATCTTCTCTTTGCGAACTCCTCTGAAACTCTTGCCTCCTTTGAAGACGACAGAGTCGGTGTTAGAGGTCACGTCGCTCCTCCCTGGTTCAGTCCGGACAGAAGCCGCCAAGGCTGAATCTGAATCTTTGATAAAACATCTCGTCCCGATCACGTGATTTCATGCACGTCTCTGCGTTAGATTGATCTCCACCCTGATGCAGTTCCATGTCGAATCCCACACGGCACATCACTCAGAGTCTAAATATAGATTCAGAAATATTCCACCGCCGTCGATGTCACCGCTGCTGCTGCTGCTTGGTTTTAAATAATTCCACTCTTATTAGACCGGAGGAGATACATCTCATCCCGCTCCCCCGGCATTCTGCTTCATGAAGTAATACAATTTCTTTCCCTGCTGCGTTCCCGCTCTCCCCAGAGTGTGTCACAAGCGATGACTTTAAACACCTCTGCTTTGAAATAACAGGAAATAAGGAAAGAAACGAAATTATGCCAGTGCCAAATCCGCTGATTTCTGTTCCGCTGTGAAAGTGAGACAAAAAGAGACAGATAGAGGACACACAGTCGTGGATCTCAGTGTGATCGTTGGATCCTCTCAGCCGTCCTGCTTTTGTCTCTTTCCAAAAGCTTAGACTGAGGCAAAGTCACAGAGTTTGGATCATTAGAACGCCATGCGTTTCCTTTTTTTTATAACCTCACATGCCAGCTGTCACTGAGCTGCGATCACACTCTGTAATGAATCACTGCTGTCGCATTGTGGTGTCACCTGGCAGGAAGTTGTCAAAAGACAGCGGTGGGATACAGGCTTCAGAAAAAGTCAAGGAAACGACAGTGGAGTGTCTTTAGATTTGGACTGTTCAAATGTGTCCCACCATATTGAGACAGTTGAGACAACGACGGACTCGTCTTCTAGCTTCTTCCAAACACAGTAGCTTGTTATTCTTTGGCCAACGTTGGCAGTTCCTTAAATTTCTTTGCGAAAACAGTGCCTATTTTATATAACACCAAGTTGTGGGCTGTGACCCAGAAACACTTGGTGGAGGACAGTCAGCATGTGGACTTCAAACCAATGGTAGTAAAAAAAAATCTCAGCCTCAGTTAAGAAGAATAGAGAACACGTCGTCTGAAATAGGTACGCAACGAAACCAAGAGAGAACAGAAAACTCGCCTGAAATAGGTACGCAACGAAACCAAGAATCTGGCGATACGTATCACGATATGGGGTAACATATATACATAATAATACATAATACAGTATATATTGCGATACTATAGGCGATATATTACATTTTTTTAAACAATTTAATTGTGGGAAAACTGCCAACACAGTAAAGACCTACAGTGAGATTTGATCTGTTCTGATATCAGCAAATTAATAACAAGACTAATGTCATAGTGGACAGATGAGGAGTTTACACCTCACTGAGTCACCTATTTGTTCAGACCTATATATTTTTAATTTACTTTATTTTATCAAAAAAATGGACAAAAAAAAAACCCTACATATGGTAGAAAGGCCCAGAGATTAAAAATACAGCAGGCTAAGGTCAGACAGGAACAATGAGCTGTGTTTCCACAGGGCAGTCAGTATCAGCTGGTCAACAGATGGTGGATGTTGACGGGCTGCTGGGTTCACTGGCCTGTTCTGTGTTCAGTTAGCAGGGGGTCAGCAACACACCCTGGGATGTTTGTTTCTGCCAGTAGCGTTTTATCAGACGCTAACACACATTCACACACACACATTGTAATGGCAGTAAAACTGCACTTATCATCATGGAGCTCTCACAGAGGAAAAATACACTATCAAAAAAAAAAAACACACAAAAACCTGCAGTGACTTATGAGGTGAAGGTATTTTTCACGTTCGATTTATGAGGTGAAGGTATTTTTCACGTTCTGTCAACATCCTGCTTTTGTGTGAATGAGACTGAAGGTCAGCGTGAATACACACCAGTCAAACAGCAGGTTTTTTTTGCATGTAGAGCATGTTGTGAATGTTATCAGGAGGAAAACATTATGGAATGAATGGACACCCACACACACACACACACACATACAGTTTGTAAATCTTCTTACCGGGAAGTAAAGCAGCAGCGCTCCACAGAGGATGGCCTCCAGCAGGACCAGACCAGACGCTCGGATGCTCTGAGAACAAGAAGGTGCAATAAACTTACAGGTTTAAGGTCACGGAGCTCTGAAACATCTTATAGTTACATATATTTTATATACATATAGGTCATATGTTTTTATTTCAATACTTAACGGTTCACAGCGTAACTGCTACAGCCCAGTGGTGACCCACGTGTGGAAAAAAAATAGTTTTATTCATCCTAATTCTTTCATTAGGTCGAAGTTTACAACATTTTTAAGTTTGTTGTCATCAACCAACCAATAATCTGTGATATAATATAGTTTTTCTTCATGTCATTTCTGCTCATTATATTCATATGGAATTCCAGGCATAATGAGATGTGATGTGAGAGCATCTTTGATTTAATCCTAGAATTTTATTGCGTGAAGTTTAAAGAGAAATCCTTGGTTAAAAGAGAGACAAATGGCTGTTCAGTTTAGAGATATTTTTCATACATTTTTGTCTAAATGACAAGATACTTCAGGGTCTCTCTATAATAACGGCAAACAGCTGCAGTTTTTCATTTTTAAAATAATTCATATTTGATAAAATGCAAGGCATTACTCTTTGGCATACCAAAATCCTGACTGATGTTTATCTTGTTAAAACATTATTAAAATATGTAAATCTAGGCTAATTCATTTGATTATGGATATTATATTACTTTAAGTCTGAAAGAGGCTCTTAAAGTCACTCTGATCAGATTAATGAGGATTAAATCAGCAGTGTTTAATTTATGACAAAGCCCCGGAGAATATAAGCCATTTATCTGTGTTATTAATGGAGCCAGTCTTTGTTCACCGTCGCTGATATAATAAAAGAGCATTTAGGTGTGTAAATGACACAGCAGCTCAGGAGGATGAGGAGGATTGAGACTTATTCCTAATTGTCTAATGATCTACGAAGAGGTTTATAATTAACTCCAGTCGATAATCTCAACACAATAGCAAAAAGAAAAAAATAAGTTTTTGAGAAAAAACCTGTTGCTATTTGTGATGCTAAAGAATAGTAAAAAATGGTAACAATCGGTCTTAACAAAAAGGCTTAGAGCCAAAAATCAATTAAATTAAAGAATGGATTACAAAATGGCTGGAAGTAAACTAAATTTACTGCATTAAAAGTATATTAAATATTAGCAGAAATGTGTTTGTAGACGTTGGTTAACACAAGAATTTCCCAAATATGGGATATATATATATATATATATATGTATATATATATATATATAATTTTTAGAGAAACAACTAAAAAGCTTCAGCTATTCTGACCACACACGGTCCAAAACATTTGATTAAAAAAAATAAACCTGGACCTAAAGATTCCAGATGCTACAAGTCTGTTCGAGCGCTTTTACCTTATTCCTGCGGAAATGGTAGATGACCACCATGCTGATGAAGACGATGAGCACGCAGAGGCACTGGAAGGAGAGAACAGCCAGACGAAGAACGCCGTCCTCTCCAACCACACAGGGGGCGTCGTCTTTACAGTAGGCGCAGCCTTTCTGACAGGGCAGACAGTCGCCAGAAGATCCTTGGTCCACGTTCGGGCCAAAGTCCGCAGATTTAACTTTTCTGTTAGTCCCTGTGAAAGACGGAAGCAAAAAGAGTGATGATGATTTTTTGTTTTTTTTAAATGTTATAGCCAACATCTGGCTCAGCTTTATCTCAAAATGGTTAGCCAGACATTAGCATCAATTAGCATAATAAAAGCTTGAAAAGTTAAAAATTGTCTCAATAAAATTCATTTTCATAAAAATTCATAAAATTCCTGAAGCCTATTATTATTTTAAAACATACAGTATATGTATGCGTACAAATGTGTATGGGTGTATATGTACATATATATATCCCTATAGTTGGACAGATGAAGACTATGTGGGTTTTTCATGGAGTTCTTATGGAAGCTTTAATGAAAACAGTCATTGTTGGGTAGATTGCAGGGATTTGGCACTAAAAAAAAAATTGTCTCCTTCTTCGAAACTGTGACTCTGCATGTCATTGATCCCTTCAAAGGACCATTTATCTCTGCTGCTGTGACTCACACCCGTCAGCTCAGTTTCGCTGCTCGGTTGTAGCAACACACCGGCTTCTCACCGACTCCTCTGCTTGAATCGTATTTAAAGGATCCACAGCAGAAGATCACGGAGAGACAAAGGAAAATGAAGCTTATTGGTTTCTCCTCTGCAGAGCAGAGTACAGCGTGTCCCCATGTGGATTTACAGGCTTGTTAATGGCCCTGTGGTGGAGCCCGACTGCAGCAGTGAGGCTTGTTAAAGGGATTTCCCCTGCTCTGTTATTGGCTTCTCATCTGTCTCACCCACATGTGCACACTGAGCTAAGACAAAGAAAAAAAAAACAGCAACACTAGTCTTTAGATTGTGCTTTTCACCGTCTGACCCTCCACTCAAAATATCAGAACAATTGCAACGCAACATGAATAGTTTTCTAAAAATCAGTACTTTTTTTTTCAAAACATTTTTGAGACATTACATCTTCTATCATGTGACCCAACGCAATTAAAAATAACAAAAGTATATATACATATATGGGTGTGTGTTAATTTGTGTGTTCTGGTGTTTATATTGAGCCACCCAAAAACTATTTAAAAAATATATATTTATTGATTGGATGACTCAGCAGAATTTCATGTATCTATCACTTACTTGAGAACCCGTTGACGGCCAGTCTGTTGGGATGGTAGAATCCTTTCCTGCACTGGCACTTGTACTTGTCCAGAACGAAACCATGACCACGCATGGGTAAACACTGTGAAGAGAGTAAAAAAAAAAAAAAAAAAAAATGTAAATTTTGAAAAGCCTTGATTTGATCTTTACAACTTAAACATCCTTCACTTTTGACCAACTTGACTGACAGCAAAACCAATCTGAGAAAACCCCTATTAAAAAATGTCAAAGCGATTTAAAGAAAGTGCAACAGGAGTGCGGAAGGTCTTGTGAAAAGGACAAAGGTCTAATTGTTTAACTTTGCTCTCCTCGTCTCCTGCTTCTCCGCGTCACCGTCCTCTCGCAACGTTAAATTAGCCCAAACCCCCAGCATTAGATTGAAAGTGTGATAAGAAAACAGACTAAACGCTGCAGAGACAACGGACACCCAGGAGTCGTCGGGGGCGTCCTTGGCAGACCTTGTGCTCTGTTTGCCAAATCACAAGACATAATTAATGTCTAAATTAGGAAACAGACTCTATTTCCTTCCATCACGTAAAGTTCCCAGATGAACGGATCTGGACCGAGGATGCTGACACAGAATCTCATTTTCTGAGTCACTTAATCGACATAATGTTTTTTTCTTAATAGCTTTTGAGTCCAGGGGCCATGAAAAGTACCAGTACTTTAAATGGCCCTTGACATGCCATTGAGTGTTTTTTGACCCGACTGTCAGAGGCGGCGTCTCTAAATGAAGCACCAGACGACGTCACGCACTTCACTGTAGAATGGACCCGGAGGATCTGAAACGGCAGCTATTTTCGACTGCCTCGCTCTTCAAGGTCCTGGCTAAGGTTTGAATGTGATAATTTCTCTCCAGCTCCACCTCCCCCCCAACCCTCAGTCAAAGCCTTGGAGAGGCTGGAGGAGAGGGTTTTCAACAGTGTGGGGGTAATTACCAGAGGTTAGTGTTCACCACACAAAGTTCCTCCAACTAATGCCAGAGAGAAGCTAAAGTGGTGCTACAGTGACGTGCTGAAGAGAACGAGAGAGACTGGAAAACCCTCGACATGTTAGCAATTGATCATACAGTACAGTAGTCTAGTACAGTTTAATACTCTATAAGTGAGTAAAAAAAATGTGTTGAATCTTCTGAAAGTGGTGTTTTTTGTTTAAAAATAATGACATTATTTACAAGAGCAAGAATTAATATCACATTGATATAAAAACAATGAATAGCCAACATGGAGGTGTACGGTGTTGTTGAGGTTAGCGCAGTTAGCTCACGTCATAACGGTAACCAGGTAACCAGGCTCAGACGGTGACGTCGTTTCTTTTCTTTCCTTTTTTTTCTTCTTTCATTATCCCCTTACATTAGGGCTGTAACGGTACGTGTATTTGTACCCGAATGTATTCGTGTACATTTGTGTACTTGTGTTTTCAAAGCGCGTCAAGGAGAACCTTGTAAAAGTCCAACTTCCGCCGGAACTCAATTGTGACGGAAACCAATCGCTCTCGTCACCGAGTGTACGGGGACGAGCCTGGTGTTGAACGGAAGAAACGACACGTTCGAGACAACGAGCAACGTGTGCGCGCTTGTTCTTAGACGCAAATCACGATCAAAATAACAATTTAAATATTGCTACATGTTATTAATTGCTATTTCATTTTAAGGCAACAATTAGCAACGTTTTTATTTGTAAGATTTGGGTAAAATACTGCAATATCTACACATTTTTAGATGTTGTTTAATGTTTTTGGCTTCGCTTTTAAGAAAAACTGACATTGGAAAGCATTTTTCTTCCTTTTTTAATAATATAGCTTTTATTTTGTTTTAAAAATGATTCCTGACACGAGATCTGACAGGGATGTGTCAACATCTGCGTGAACACCTCTCCCACTCTTGACTGCTCGGGAAACGGTTCTTAACGGCTAATTTTAAGTCAGCACTTCCTGTAGGTGTCAAGAACACTTCATTAAAGTGAAGCTCATCATCTGGATGTGACACTGTTGAGGTGGTGCATGCATGTAGCCCGTCATACAATAACGAAAAATGAGCTGTAAATGAGCTCTGTGGTGGAATGTGTCGGCTAAAGTGATTTCATGTTTGATTTCCCAGCAGCTGTCTCCTCAGGACAGGAGGCGCAGGCTGCAGCTCCTGCCTGCCACTCTTCATATGCAAACAGCCACAGACAGGTGTGTGTGTGAGTGTGGGCATGATTTTCGTGTGTGTGTGTGAATGTGAGAGTGAGAGAGAGAGAGAGGGAGAGAGAGACAGTGAGCCAGAAATAGCTCTGGCTGTGAATCCCACTCCTGCCTCCTGTGGTGATGGATGCAGGTCCTCTCTCCCCCTCTCTCTCTCTCTCTTGCCCCCCCCCCCCCCCCCCCTCTCTCTCCCTCTCCCCCCCCCCCCCCTCCCTCTCTGGACATGTAGGATGTGGAAGAAGCCAAAACGCCGCAGCTGCAGCTACCTGCCATCCGTCATGTGATCTCAGCGTAATATTGCAGTATAAATCATATAAATTAGCTCACTTAAAGGCACCCTGTGGACCTTTTGACCAATTGCGTCACATTTGATGATGAATGTATCGACAAACACACAGGAATATGACGGTGGCACAAACACAGGAGTAAATGGACTCAATACTGTTACATGTCTATCAGTGGTGGAGGCCCAAGAGAAAAAAAACAACACCTCAAGATACACGATGAAGGTTAGTTGTTCAATTTCATTTTTTTTATACTATTGTAAATGAACAATCACTCAGATAAAAGATAACACTAAGACATTTGACTCTCTTTTTTTGTTGTTGTTGTTTGGGTTTAAGTATCCAACAGCAAATGAAGAGATACTACAGAAAACAAGCAAACCCAGAAATACTGAGAAAAACCTTATAGTAACAGTTATAGTAATGAGTATAAGATGTCGAAATAAATGTATTCAATGACTGTAACATAATCTGAGAACAACAACAGAAAAAAAAGCAAAACAGATTTGCAACAAAAGAAAACGTTAAAAAAAAAGAAAGCAAAACAGATTTGCAACAAAATTAAAAAAACGTTAAAAAAAAATACCCCAGAAAAAAAAGAAAATAGATAATGAAAACGCAAAATGTTTACCTGGAATAAGATTAGATAAGGTAAATAAAATTAATTACCTGAACAAACTTAAGAAAAATATTTCTTCATTGTTCAGGAACACTTACAAATACAAAATATTTCTTCATTGTTCAGGAACACTGAGGGCTGGGACCACAAAAAAAACTCCCTCTTTCTCAGAGAGCCACTTTTGGTCTACAGACCAGACTTTGGACCAACCTGCTGTTATACAGCTCTTAACCATACATACATACATAAATAATGGAGGAACCTTCAGCTATATGTGCTGTGATTATACAACAGCCTTCTGTTATGCTGTCATGAACAGGGACATGGCGCTGACCATGGTGCTGACCTACTTCTCCACGCCTGCCGTACACAGTTAATTACCAGTGATGGTGTTGAGTTGATATCAGCTCAGGAAGCCACGTTGTCTTGTTGTGTTGTACGTGTGTGTTTCCCCCCCCGCCCCCATCCCCTCCTCTCTATAATGAGCTGTAGGCGTCCACGGTGCTGCCTGAGAGAAAATCATCACCACATCACTTTAACTGATGGTTAATGAGCTCCATATGATTGTGAAAACAGTGGTTGACTGCACAGGATTTATTCCGCCGTCGGAGCCGCTGCTCACGTGTGGTAATGTGGAGATAAATGAAACATGACAAAATGAAATAATGTCACTCTAGATCACATGACCCTGCGCTTTGTGACGCTTCATTTCTACTTTATGGTGGGTTCTAAATGTATGCCTGTAGCGCCGTGGGCAAACATACACTGTTGGTCAAATCCCAGCTGCGGCAGCTGTCACTCACACACACAAACACACTCACATTGACATGTCAATTGCCATGGTGACCGTAAACTATTAGTTTATGTAAATACTTTTTGAAATTTTTTCTTATTCTATTTTATTTTTCCATATTTTTGTTCTTTACATTTAGGAATGATAATAATCCCAATTACTCGTGATTAATCTTAATGACTAATTTAGCTTATTCCACAGTGTGACAGAATCTGATATTAAGACTTTTTATTTATTGAATCTTCACTCGTTCAGGTGCTTTAAAAGTAACTAGAACCACCGGGATTTTATATTCTCGCTTCAGTTTGAAAAGGAAACTACTTAGTTTTCTAATAAAACTGGGTGATAAATGTCAGACGGAGGCTTGTGTAGTGTGCTGCATAATTAGATAGTGATAAAATTGAATCCCGCAGAAGGAGAGCAGGATATAAAATGTCACACTTCTCCAATAAAAGAAAAAAACAAATATCACCATTTCAAGGATATAATTTCACTGTAGCTACACACGGACTGTACGGATGCACAAAAAAAAAACATCAAACACAGTTTCCCAGCATCACCTCTGTGTGACACCCAACGGGGAATTCAAAACAACCGTGGAAGTGGCTCTAATTAATGCAGAGGCCAAAGTCTTGACCAGGAAACCAGGAAGTAGCTGCGTCTTCTGGGTTAATTAGGGCCTGCTGAGGACCTGGGCTCTCCATGAAACCAAGACCACAGTCTTCTGGTCCAGCACGGAGCCTAATCAGCCACTAATAAGCCTGTGCAGGTATTTGTAACGATCCTACAGAGTGTAACCTGCACCCAGAGGAAAACTTATCAGACAGTAATTACAGACTGAAGTATAGATGGAGCAGGAAGAGGAGGTGAGGAGGAGAGGACTGCAGGGAGGTTTACACTGGAATAGGATAGAATACCAAGATGCTAAGATTTTTACTGTAAGTATCTACTGTGGCGCCCCCTGAAGGCAGCAGCCAAAGGAAGCTGATGAATTTTAAAAAACGTTTAGAGTACTCCAGGTCAAATCGAGAAAAAAAAACGATAACAGTTTAGAGTACTCCAGGTCAAATCGAGACTTGCTGTAGAAACAAGAGTAAAATCCCATAAAAGACAAGAATTAATAATTAAAGATTGTAAATTAAAATTGGAGGCTAAAATAAAAACCCGTGAATCCCAGGCATTTCTGCAGAATCTACGAAGGT